TTACATAGTTAAATTAGTAAAGCTGGTAAATAACTTCCTTTGCATTTGCTAATAAAATGTTTCAAATTACCAGGTGAAATACATAATTTTTCAGTAAATTAGACTTCTGTTGCCCATTTCTTTGATAATTGTAAAAGGGCAATTAAAACATAAGGAGAAGACTTACTAACAATGTAATTTTTAGAAACTGATAGCAATGCAAACGATTGTTGTCCATATAAATGCAAATTACATTCATTTGATTACAAGTTATAATTATTCTACAGATGTTGAACCATTTTGAGGGTTTTGCATCTATTTATAACTACATTTTAGCATTACTTATTTGATAATGTATAGGAGGGTATGAATTCTCCTTTGACTGTAATATTGTATTTATTCCTCATTAATGACTTAAAAAATTATTCATGCATTGATTTTATACCTGTTTAGTTATAACTTGATTATAACATTAAAAATATCATGAACATTGGGCTGGGTGTTTGATCCAGCAGTTAAGATACCACTTGGCGGGGGGGCCAGTGCTGTGGCATAGGGGGTAAAGCCACCGCCTACAGTGACAGCATCCCATATGGGCACCGGATTGAGTTCTGGATGCTCCTCTTCCAATCCAGCTCTCTGCCATGGCCTGGGAAAGCAGTAGAAGATGGCCCAAGTCCTTGAGCCTCTGCTCCCACGTGGGAGACCCAGAAGAAACTCCCAGCTCCTGGCTTCGAATTGGCACAGTACCAGCTTTTGCAGCCATTTGGGGAGTGAACCAGAGGATGGAAGAAGTCGCTCTCTACTAACTGCCTCTGCCTCTCTGTAATTCTACCTTTCAAATGAATAAATAAATCTTTAAAAAAAGACACCACTTGGAACACTGGAATCATAATTTAGAGTGCCTGGATCTGAGTCACAGCTCCACCCTTATTCCAGTTTCTTGCTAATGCACACCCTGGAAGGCAGCAGGAGATAGCTGAAGTGGTTGAGTTCCTGTCACCCATCAAGGAGACTTGGATTGAGTTCTGGCCTCCTAATCTGGTCTATCTGAAGCTGATAGGGACATTTGGGGGGAACAAGTGGACGGCAGATATCACTATCCCCTCTACACAAACTTTTTTTTTTCTCCCTATCCCACTATTTCTATCGCTCTGCCTTTCAAATTAAAAATAAAATATTCAGTTGTAAGAAAATACCCTGTGAGCGATAAAAAGTAAAATATGTCTAATTTCTTATAGGGAATGATATGACACACTCTATCAAAAGTACAGTTCAAAACTGATTACAACAGAGACTACAGAATACAACACAAGAAAATGAGACAGAAAATCAAAATTCTCACAAAAGATAATTAGTTATATCTTGTTCAATTGAATTGATCCTGTTTCCAGTTCAATTGGTACAACTGGCAAAACCAACCGCAACGAATTTGAAAAAGTCCTCCTTACTTGAAGTGTTTCTTTCACTGTCTGGCACCCTTACAGTCTGTGCAGCTGCCTCTTGACACTCCCAGGGGTTTCACACTGGTGTCTGCTGCCTTTGGTTTTCACCACCCTGCTTCCCAAAGTGGTGAGGAACCACTCTAATCTGCTTTATGCAAAGTTTTTAAAAAAGTCACTCACTTCAGTCGCTTTAGTTCTTTAAAACTCATTAACCATTTAAGTTGACAATGCTTATCTGATGTATATGTATTTGAATTACTACATTTCACTAGTAAGTATGTGATTTTTTTTTTATCAACATGCCATATTGCTTCTCAATTACTCATTTGGAAAGTGTGGTATTTTAAATAGATGAGTTTCTCTCTAAAAGGCATGATAATCAACTATTGCAGGTATTTGTATATCTTGAGTTGTCATAAATTATATATATTTTTCAATGAATATTAATGTAATGGTTCTAAAAGCTAAAGTTTCTATGATACAAAATTATTACTCCTACTTTGAGTTATCAGGTGCCTTAGATGCAAAAGGCATGTAAGTTTTTAAAGAAATTTAATTATCAGGAAATTCTGAGGATAAAGAAAAGTAAACTATTTTAAAAGATCTCATTTTTTTATTTAGTCAAAAGTACAAATTCTAATCTGAAAAAATAATACATTAAAGACAGAAAATAAAGTATAGAAGTTACATTTGTCTCAACTTTCAGAGGTGACTATATTATCTCTTTAGTTTTGATTTAGGTATAAACAAAATTGTTTAATGTCAGGTGGTTATGATTCTCTCTCATTATAAGACCATGTTTTTTTCAAAAAATAGAGACTTTGATCTGCAAAAAGTGGTCCAAACTTTAACAAGAAATATTAAATATATTAAAATGTAAACAGTATGGTTTATTTGAATTTCAGTGTGTACTAAATAAAAGCAAATGTTTGCTATGTCTATTTTAACTTCAATGTTTCCAACATTTATAAATATTGTTTCTTATTGTTTGCTGATTCTACTAACATGATGAAAGAGGATAAAAGCAAAATCAGAGCATGAGAAAAAAACTAAATGTTATCATTTTATGGCTCACATTCTTAATATGTTCCCAGTGGAGAATGGTTTGACTACATATAAATGGGTGAATATCTGTAAAAAGAAACCAATTATTCATAAGTTTATTCACTAACTTAGGTAACTTAGGTGAACATTTGATGGTTTCAAAAAGAACTAAAAGCTAAATATTGACCAATATTTGATAAAAATACCATGAGTTCCTGAGCCAGTAAGAAAGGTAAGGTATATGCTGGACAGCTCACATGTAATTGCAAAATTCAAACCAAAAACTAGCAATGAATCTTCCAAACTAAAGAGAGTTGATACCCCCAATCAACCAAAAAATATTATGCAGGACATGAATAAATAAAATTAATATGTTTTTAATAAAAGTTTCATCTTTACCAATATTGTACAACACTGGGGGATTTCCATGATGGATAGTTTCTCTGTAGAAATATTGTTGAGAAGGCCACTTGAAGGCAGTATTTCTCACTAATTAGAGCACTTACGAATCACAAGGAGATCTACTAGGACATAGAGTTTGAATCTTTCAGGCTGAGCTGACTCCTGAGATTCTGAACTCCTTACTAGTCCCTAGGTGATGTTGATATTGTACTAGGAGGGTCACATTCTGTGGAGCAATGCCCTCAAGTGCAGCCAATAAAAAAGCACACATGCTCAGCCCCCTGCCACGTGAAACATTCAGACTTGCATACTGCATGCACATTCAGATTGGTAATTGCTATGGAGAAAATAAATTTCCTTTTCTTTTTTTTTTTTTTTTTTTTTTTTTTTTTTTTTGACAGGCAGAGTGGACAGTGAGAGAGAGAGACAGAGAGAAAGGTCTTTCCTTTTGCCGTTGGTTCACCCTCCAATGGCCGCCGCGGCCGGCGCGCTGCGGCCGGCGCACCGCGCTGATCCAATGGCAGGAGCCAGGAGCCAGGTGCTTTTCCTGGTCTCCCATGGGGTGCAGGGCCCAAGCACCTGGGCCATCCTCCACTGCACTTCCTGGCCACAGCAGAGAGCTGGCCTGGAAGAGGGGCAACCGGGACAGAATCCGGCGCCCTGACCGGGACTAGAACCCGGTGTGCCGGCGCCGCTAGGCGGAGGATTAGCCTAGTGAGCCGCGGCGCCGGCCTAAATTTCCTTTTCTTAGATAAGAACTCCAAAATTAGAATAATATTTATTCTAAAAGTTCTATCATTGATATGTAGCTCATTTCCTGTGCCAGCACTGCCCTGCTTCCCTTCCTTTTCAGTGTTGGACCTCAAGGGGACACATTTCAGGAGGCATTGAGCAGCCTTCTGGTGAACGTGGCCTACCACCTCCAGGTCCACTGCCAAATGGGGAATGCTGAACCAATGGCTTCAGCAAACACAAAATCCTAAAAAGAGATTCTATTAGTGTAAATATTGAAGATAGCATCTCCTCTCTTTAAGCAACATTTAGTGATTTAATATATTTTATTCAATTTCTTCATCATATTCATTAAATGGAAATTTTTTTGCCCTGTGCATTTTCAGCTTTCTAACTTGAATTCCAAGCATCCATCTAAATATCTCTTTTCTTTCCTTTTGTTGTTCTTTCTCCATATAGCTTTGGCAAAGCTGCAACCACCTCCAAATAAGTGTGCAAACCAGAGACGGTATACACTGAAAGGGATGCCATGCATTATTTCCTTCTCCAAGTGAAATCTGGAAGCAACTGAGAGTTGAAGTATGGGTACCTTGTTCTAAATTAATGTATCAACTACAGAGTACATTCAGGAGACCACTCATAATAGTGTTTAAGTTGACTCACACATGTAAGAATATTTATAGAAACATATTCTGCCCTAGTGAGAAATAATTTTCAAACAAAATATTTCTTATGGCTATTTTATCATCACCAAAGTCCTGCCCCATCCCCTTCACCTGCAACAGATTTCAGATGGTTAATTTAGTAACCACTGTAGTTTGGCTTCAAATCAACCATGGCTTGTGGACTTCTCTCAGAATGCCCAAATAATCTATAATGAGCCCAAAGTTCTGTGACATGAAATATCCTTGTATATCACCAAAGAATAAATTTAGCAGTTTCAAGGGTTTTTCAAGAGATATCTACCATATATTTTAATTGTCAGAACCATGCTTTTTTGTAATGGTTTACACAAATAGCTTTGTTGATAAGAATTTGTCCCATAAGTGAATGCCGATATAACATAGATTGTTCTTTTAATAAAAAGAATGATTATGCCTTTTTTGCATACCCACTGTAAATATGTGTCTCTCATTTAATATGATATCAGCAAATGTTTGTGAACGAAAATAAATGATAACACTAGACGGGAGTGGTTTTTGTATACATGTTCAGGGTGGCTTAATCAAAGACTCTTGTGATAACATGGGACTTATTATCTTGTTTTTCTGGACATGACCACTGGTCATATGTAGATTAGAAATGCTACAGGTAGATATTCAAAGCCCAAGTGACTGCTTCATTCTATTTGAGAGATTGATTTCAGAATATATTGTAAGACAACCTCAGAAAACTCACTTCTTCCATGTAGTTTTTCAATGAGTGTCCTCCACTAGAAGCTTCTCCCTAGAGGCAAAGAGGAAGGGATATTGAAAAAGTCAGAAGAAGGTGAAAGAATGAAATAAAAGTATCCTGGGAGATGAGAGCAACACGAATCTTTCCTACCCCCCTCCTACTCAGTTGATATTGGTAGGGTTATCAATTTGGCAACATTTTACTCTTTGAATGAGATAATTTTTTCAAGACAACAGTGTATCTTTCCAGTGCATTTAAATTAATATAAAAAAATAACCAGCTAGAGTAGTTAACTAAACTTTAGGATAGGATGAAAAACAAATTGAAAATAAATTTCCTGTTATTAACTTTATAAATATGGTCTTAAAAGTTTATTTCAAAAAGAAGTCACCAATTCTTTATTCTATGAATTTATGTGAGGAACTCTTAACAGATGGTCTGAAAAATATCCCCATTTTTAGAAAGGGGATAGATCATTAACCTTTATATCCAATCTTTTTTTTACCTTCCCAGTATGTAACTGGTGAATTCTCCATTATTTGTATCTTTTACTGGCACTTCATTGAGCACTCATAATTACTGAGACTTAAATCATTGAGACTTAAACCGTTCAATTAAACATTTATCCCAAACTCATTTAAACATTGGTGGTCACAGTTGTCAAACAACTCGCTAGTTTTCATAAGTTATATTTTTATGCTTTATGACCACAGACATTGAGAAATAAATTCTGAGATATCATGGAATGATAAATTCTCGGACACCATATGTGTTTAAAAGATAACTAAATAAATCTTAATCAAGCTTACATTTGTTTCTAAAAAATAATTTTTAACTTTTCCAGGACCTTCATATGTATCATCTCATTGTATTGTTTTTTCGCTACAACTTGACCAAAGACCCCCTCAGACCCACATAACACATAGGGAAATTAAAAGTCAGCAGAAGTTAAGCAAAACGCTGAAAATCAAGGAGCTAGACATGGTGTTCCTGGGACTGGATTCTAGCATGACACTCTTCCACCTGGCCAGAATGAAAAATTTGTAACTAAAAAAGTAATTCATTTTAGTTTTTTTAAATTGGGATATATGCTGCAGAGCACTTGGGGAAGGGTGAGGAGGGGAGCATGCCATGTCGCAATAAAACTTAAGCTAGAATAAAATGCTGATATTACTAAAACTTAGAAATCACAGGTCAAATCACAGAGGCTGTAATATTTCTTCCTAAAGCATGGTTTTTGCTAGCAACAAAAATTAATATGGTATAGCTTAAATGCTTTTAAACGCTTCCAAACTTATGGGATTTTTATTGGGATAATGTAGTAAAAGAGATAAGATAGTTCTATTTACTTAAGCTAAAGAACAAACTATTTGGAAAAATGAAATCCATACGAATCCCCAAAGCTGAGAGGAATTTAACTCAATGTGTAAAAGTGGACTGGAAAGTTACTTTGAATTAATAGAGTTGAACGATGTCCTTCGTTTGAACAACTAGTCTAGGAGTGCTGCGGGTTCCTTCAACGGGATGCTTCCATGTGACAGAACCCATCCTTTGCATGCTAATAATCCCACCACTCTGCCTTAATTGCTCGGAGTAAGAGCATAAGAGCACAAGGTGGAAAACTGCTTGGAGGCACAGATGTGCTTTCTGGGCAGCCTCGCTGGCCTCTGAACATTCCACGGCTAACACTGAGATGCAAGAGTGATGCCTGGGAGTTCACTGGAAAGGGTGGTTTGTTTAGAGCTGGAGGGCAGTGGTTTTCCCAATTTGGACACTTGCAGTCTTCTGCTAAGACCTGGTAATGATTAAGGGTTTTCTTGATGATCAGATGTAAATAAAGCAGGCTTCCTCACAGCCTTGCTTCTTCCCACAATGCCAGGTGTTTTCGATAGCTACATCATTGAAATGGAAAACCCACATAACACCATTTGTTTCGCAGACCAGAGTTTGGTTTCAGCTGCCATTCATGAATCACTGACATGGGTGGCAAAAACGAATAAAATAAGAGACTCTAGGAGGAAAACACAGACAAATGAACACTTGGCAGTGGGAATTACAAACGGGGTACAGAGCCAATTGGACAATGGAAAGGGAAAGAACAAGATGTCAAAATATCTGATTTTGGGGGTCAGAAGAGCTGGCCCAGGCAAGAAGCTTGATCAGATTGTCCTCAGTCTCCTCCTTTCTAAGCAGGACCAGCGAAACGCCGACATTCCCCTCTTCTCCCCACTGGGGGCGCTAAGGAAACAAAATCCCTTTCACAGCACAAAGCTTGCACTTTCAGTCAAATTTTCTTAATGTTAGAAAATTGGTATTTTATATATCAAGTCATTCTAACAACATAATATTTTGGCAATCACCTGGACACGGATCAAAAATACCCAAGTGCAATTTCCCTTGACAAACAGAGAAGGGAGGCCGAGTGGGATGTGTGAAGGAAGGAAAGGGCAGAATACATGGAAACTGTGCTGTGAAAAAAAAAAAAAAGGTATTTCCTGAAATGTGGTTTCACTTACCATGAATTCATAACATAATCACAGTTGAGATAAAAATGTCTTAATGTGAATCAAAAAATATATCAAAAATTATTTAAAAAAGAAAATCTATAATAAACTGAAAGGGAATAAAAGAGGCTGCTGTGATTGCTGTTTAGCATATGACATAGGGTGATAACAGCTTCAGAGAGGAAGGCTCTTGTCCCTCCCTGGTTACTCTACAGTTAAAGAAACATTCTGAACAACATAGAACATCCTGGAGACAGACATAGTACTCGATCCTTCTTGTCCTCTATCTGTTGTCACTTTTCACTGTATCTTGCTTCTCTTGTATCAGCCAGTAAGTGTTTTCTATTCATCTCTTTCTAATCTTTAGACAAAATGTAGACTGACACTTGTACATAGATTATATTTTTTTCTCAAACACTGTATGTCTGAGATTTCTTCAAAGAAAGGTCTATGATAACCCTTCTTTAAAGAAAGGTCTATAACTCTGCTTCCACCAGCATGATCTTTCTTCCAATGTTTTCCCCCCAATTGTAGCTAAATAATAATCCTAAAACAGACAGCATGCTCTTAAGAAGTACTTTAATTATCTGGGGCCCATAAAACAATGGGAACTCAACATGAATGATTAGAGCATTTCTAAGCTCAAGGGACTCATAAAACCACCCAACAGGTATTGTGCATGTAGGTAGGAAGCATTTATCGGGTACCACATAGCATGCCAGGTGTTGGGACAAAGAGTTGAACAAGAACTAATCCCTATTGAGAAAATAGATATACAACTGATTAGAATGCAGAACAGAAGTTACTTGACGCGAGTAAGACCAAAGTGCCATCAGTGAGAAAAAAGAGGAAAAAGCAGTTAGTCTTCTGTTCATTTAACAAGTGTAATCAAGAACTGCCATGTGGGGGAAACTACTGTAGATACTGTGTACATGTGATGAAAGAAGGCAAAGTGGAAGTAGCAACCCTCAAAGAAGTTATTTTTAGGCTTAGTCTTAACTATGTGGTCAGTTAACCAGATGAAGGAGCAGAATAAAGTGGGGAGAACTAATTCCAGGAAGAGGGAAAATTTTGAGCAAAGGCCCAGACATGAGAGAGCACAGATACTTCAAAAAGTTCATGAAAATGGAACTAAAGATATTTTTATGCAAAATATTTTGAAATCCATGATAATTTTCCATAATATACATTTTCTGTGAATGCTTTGAGGAGCCCATATATTGAAATGAAGAGCATAAATTATACAATGTGCTAAAATGTAATGTACTAAAATTTTTACAACATAACTATTAACTTAATGGCTACATGTTGTGTTTTCAAATAGCATTAGTACACAGGATTCTTAAGTTTATGATAGATGACAAAGAGATTGAAATTCAGCTTTCCAAGCTTGGCAAACTTTAACATCAACTACTATTGATGTTCAAGAAAACAAACAGTGAACTACTTCCAATTAGTTGAAAATTGAGTGTAGTATTTTATTAACTCAGAATTTTTAGAAAGTTTAGAAGTCTTTGAAATCACTTATATATTCAGTAAATCAATATTTATGTTTGCTTTCAGACCCACATATATGAACAGATGCTATTTGAATTGCTTCCAATGTCTTTTCATATTAAGTTTCAACATCTTTCTTGAAATTTTCCCATAATTTATGAACAATTATAATATCAGTGTCAATCATCTTTTTCAGAAAGCACTGTCTTTACAATAGAGAAGACCCTGGTATTGCTAAGACTAAAATGAATTTTAACACAAAATATTATGATATCACTCAACCATTGCATTCAGACACATACTTTGTGTCTAAAGCAAGAATCAGGAATCAGCAACTTTACATTTGAGCAGAAAATATTCATAAACTATGCATATGACCAGGTTTTAAATTAAAATAAAACAGTGTACATTTTGTCTTAAAGTTTCTCTTGTTAACTATTTTCACAAATAATTCCTTCAGCTGGTGAAGCCTGTGCCTTAGAGATTTATCTTAAAAGAATAGACAAGATGGGGCTGGCGCTGTGGCACAGCGGGTTAAAGCCCATGCCTGAAGCGCCGGCATCCCATATGGGCGCCGGTTCTAGTCCCAGTTGCTCCTCTTCTGATCCAGCTCTTTACTGTGCCCTGGGATGGCAGTGGAAGATGGTCTTGGGTCCCTGCACCCACACGGGAGACCCAGAAGAAACTCTTGTCTCCTTTCTTTGGATCTGTGCAACTCCAGCCATTGTGGCCATCTGGGGAGTGAACCAGTGGATGGAAGACCTCTCTCTCTGTCTCTACCTCTCTCTCTGTCTTTCAAATAAATAAAATATATCTTTTAGAAAAAGAATAAACACGAGCAGGAGCAGTTATAGGACTAACGGCAATTACCGAAAATGTTAAATTTTAAATGAATTCAGACATAGTAGTGTTCCTTTCTATTTGGTGAAAAATATTTATTTGGGAAAATGTATTTTTAATCCTCTTTTTTGCTTGAATTTTATTTAAAAAAGTGGAAGGACAAAGATAATAAGAGAAAACTGCATAATTGGAAGAGTGGTGGGTTTTATC